CTGGATACTAATGTTAAGGATGGATACGAATGTAATGATGGATTGTGAATTTGATACAGGTTGGGTTTGATTGTTTATCTGATCTGGATACTAATGTTAAGGATGGAAAAGAATGTAATGATGGATTGTGAATTTGATACAGGTTGGAATGTTGAAGAGGATGGATATGAATGTTATGATGGATTATCAATTTGATATAGGTTGGGTTTGATTGTTTATCTAATCTGGATACTAATGTTAAGGATACAAATGTCATGATGGATTGTGAATGTGATGCAGGTTGGAATGTTGAAGAGGATGGATACGAATGTTATGATGGATTATCAATTTGATATAGGTTGGGTTTGATTGTTTATCTGATCCTGGATACTAATGTTAAGGATGGATATGAATGTCATGATATCTGATCTGGATACTAATGTTAAGGATGGATACGAATGTAATGTCAATTCATGTTTTAAATGTTTTAGCAGATTGAAAAAATTACAAAAGATGACAAAGAAATTGCTTTCTAAAACTTGTAAGAATTAAAACACCCTCTTTGTTTTATACTTACCTGTATAAATCCAAATTAAAAGTTTCAAATAATTTCACTTTGTGCTTATATTAATATAGAGCGATTTAAAAAAGAAAAACCATCAGAGAGAAACTAGTTAACAACTAACCTAACTTTGCCCAGACTACTAGAATCCACAGGGTGTTGAGTTGATCGCTCTACTTTTCTAAATAATAACAATACTTTAAATTTTATAATGAAAATGTTCATTTTCTAAAATATTGTTTGAAGTATCTAAAACAACAGAATAATTTTTCTTTCATGTATTAAAGACAAATCTCAATTTCATTAATATTAAATTTAAAAATGAAGTTGTCTGCAGTAAGTACACATATATGTTAAATATGAAGACGACTGTTTTTCTAAGATAAGGGGTGTCCCACGAAACATGACAATAGCAAGACGACTTGAAAGTCGTCTTTAATCTTGGAATTTATTTGTGACATTTAGTCGTCAACCTTCTTTAACATGCATGATTCTAGAAACAATAACAAAAATATTCTCCTAGTTCTGGCATTTCCAAAATGTGGTCTGCCTTTTTTGTGCTGTTAATACTTCCGGAGATATTAGAACATTCGATCAGATTTCAATTTTGTAAAATAAAACCAAAATTGTCGAAATCTGAACTAATATCTTCATATCGGCGGTAATATTGAAAGCACAATGAGGCAGACCACATTTTAGAAATGCCAGGACCAGGGTTTTTTGTGATCGTTATCTCTAAAATGTTACTTATAAAATTATGTTGACAAATAAATGTAGCAAATTATATCAAAAAGCAAAGACGACGTTCAATTCATCTTTCTATTGTCATGTTTCGTGGGACACCCTGTAGTTAAATGAACATATAACAATGTAATTGTTAAGTATATACAGACTAATATCACAAATCATTTTTAAAGCTTCTTGTAAAATTATTTGCTTTATTACAATGAAAAAATGCAAATAAAAAAAATGAAAAATTAAAAAAAAAATAATAGGTTATATTACAATGACCAAATGCAAATGAAAAAAATAAAAAAAATTGGTAACATATATTAAATTATTACTCAAGCGCAAGTGTAGGGCTTCGCAATTGAGAAAGAGCTTCATCAACTAGTCTTCGACTCTAAACATTTTATCAAATTTATTATTTAGAGAAATATTGTATTTTGCTTAATCAGATAATACACACTTCTCTTTTAAAATATCTATTATTAACATTATGAATACATAGTACATACAAATGTTGTAATTCGACATAGTTCTAAAATATATTTTTAAAATAATGAATATTAGCTTGAAAATTTTGGCATGACAGCAACAGAATTATTTTATTTTTGGGTTTAAGCATACGTACATGTTTCGAATCCAACGGATCCTGATAAAAACCAATGCACTGAACCAAATATAACTAAAATAAATAAATTTAAAATTAACCTTTGTTGTACTTCTACATTTAATCGTCTCCGGCCGACAAAACTGTGTAGATTGAATTTCTGACAACTGAATAAAAAATTATTAATTCAAAATAATATTAAGTATTTAATAAAAATCCATTTATTTGTCATAGCTTCTCATTAGCATGCGTAAGTTCTTTCCCGTGCAAAACAGGAAAATTATCTTTCTTAATATACTATAATAAGTAAAAAATCTAGTTTTTAGTCTTTAGTCATTAATTTGGACTCTTTTTGAGTTTTTTAAGGCAAAAAACATTTTCTCATGCGGCGCGAATTTTTGTTCCTAATTCAGATTTTTGCTGTTCCTAAATAAATCTGCCCCCCCCCCTCACTTAAAATCCTGTGTCCGCCCCTGATTATAACCAAAAATTTATATATTAAATCAAAACTAAATAACATCTTAATCATTTCTTTTAGAAATGCTATTATTTAATATAACTAAATTCCTTGGATATATCTCCGCAGTTGAAATCCTTTGAATGGACCTGAAAATAAACTATTTGATTTTATTTATGATATAAATTTTGTTTAAAGAAGAGCCTTCATGTGTAAAGTGCATAATGTAACTTTCAATTGTGATCATAATAATTTATTTAAAACTGTTATTGTACAACAAATAGAAATTAATAATAATTTAGATTAGAACTTTTACATTTATCTTTATTAAAATTAATCAAAATTAATCGTCATTAGTATTAAAAACAATATCCTTAATGGTTATTAAGGTTGCCGTAAACGTAATGATTTATATAGATTAATATAAAACTATAAATTAAACCATCTTACAAGTTTTTCAGTATCAAAAAGGGAGTGTTCATGAAAAATGAAAATGGGTACAGGCTTAAGGCGAGAAATAAGCGCTTTTGATTGCTACTAAAATTACTTCTATCTGTTGCGTCTCAAAGAATAAAATTGTAAAAAAACGACTCATACCGAAGAACGTAGTGTCAATACAAATTCACAGAGTTAAAACAATCAAGTCGGATCGTAAAAAAATCAATTTAATTCCAAACTAATCATTCAGATATTTCAACCAATAATCATCGATTTTTGTTGACGCATTCCTATATAGTTGAACGAACACTCCCTTTAATAAAGTATCTCACCTGACTTTATCGCTATTGAACAGACTCCGACTCCCAATCTCCCTGTTAGTAAAACACTATTTACAAATTAAACAAATGAGTGGATTCCGATTGGTTTTTGAAACAAGATAATTTATACAGTAACAAAATATATTTTGTATTTTGGGGTCTTCGAAGGATAATGAGAAGGATAGGAAGGATAATGAGAAGGATAGGAAGGATAATGATAAGGATAGGATTAGGAAGGATAATGAGAAGGATAGGAAGGATAATGAGAAGAATAGGAAGGATAATAAATTATTGCAAAAAATTTCCCTTTGTTAACAAATCCTATTTCAACATTAATTAATAAAGTATTACCATAACTACAATAAACAATGCACTCATATATATAAGCATTTTATGTAGAAAAACTTTTCAAAGAATAACTTCATTTTACGCTTTATACTTTTATTTCTGAGAAGAAAAATCTTTTATAATGAACTGGATCATACTGTGAAAATAATCATCTTGCAAGTATACACTACAGTTACACAAAAATTTACCTATCGGGCCAAACTCAATAGTTCTTGCTGATGTCTCACTGAAATATAGATACAAATTATCAGCTATTCTTAGATGTGATTTCATAATCATTAACATTTTTTATGTTGTTTTGCTACATGGATTGAACTAAATTTCTATAATAAAACATTTAAATATTTTAAATTTAATATCAAGCATCTAAACAATTGCCAGTTCTGAATTTTATTTATTTTATTATTATAATTTAAATAATGTTAAATACTTACAACGTTTCAGGTATTAGAATCAGTTGTTTGACAGGAATTCCATCTTTCAATTTTATATCCAAAATTTCCATCTTAGTGTAGAACTCCTTTGGAGTCCTTTGCACTCGTTGATTCTAATATTCAATAAATTTTTTCCATTTAAATATTAAATATGTATTCAGTATTGGTCACAATAACAACACATTTACCTATTTTAAACAACTACAAAATTTAAATATAATTATTTATACTTTAAAATAAAAATAACAAGGAATAACTAAAATATTACTATTTACTTTTTTAGTATTAAAATTTATCAACCTTGGGTTTAACATGTGGCTTCACACTCATCGTCTGAAATAAACGATGTGTAATTGGTCTTCACGTTCGTTAAAATATATAAAGGCAATGAGTTTTTGCCACAAACTGAAATTTTCTAATCCCTTTATCTTTGCAGCCTGGTATTGTCACGTCAAACAAAAGTAAAATGCGCGTAAGATTAAACTCTCAAATAATATTAAGTATTTAATAAAAATCCATTTATTTGTCATTGTTTTGATATCATTTAATTAGAAGTAAACCTGGAAGAAATGAACAATCATCCAAAGTTTTAAGTAAGAAATTTAGAACAGTAGCAAATTCTCAAACAATTATTGTAGGAAAATATCTGTAACCATTCACCTGTAACTCAAGTTCTGATGCTACAGAGGAACATGAAGTTCTACACTCATCATTCAAGTTAGACATCTCATTAAAAACAGCTATGCCATCAACAGCCTGAAGAACGTTTTCTCCGTCCACTTCAGCTTCAAAAGACTGAATGATAGGCTCTTCATGTCCATCCAAATCAGATTGAGGGCAATTTTTAGTAGATTCTTGTTCTTTTAAAACTTCAGCTTCTTTCATGTTTTGCCTAGTAGTATTCGGATTCATTATATCTTTACCTCCAGAAATTGGAGGAGCCTGAGCTTTAGCTTCAAGATTCAGGGAGCTGAGGTCCTGAACTGCGGACTTAATGCTAGGATTCTGATCTCCTCCAGATTTAATTATCAAGCACTCAACTCTGGTTTTGTTGACTTGGTCGTACTTCTCTACAGCTCTGGCTTCATCCTTATGATCCTTCGGACAGGTATCATCTTTTGACATGTAGCCTTTTTTCTTACTCTTATTTTTCTTCTTTTTCTTAGCTTCTGTTGGGACACTAAAATTTAAAAAAATCTTTTTTATACTTTTTAACAATTATTTTTGTATTTTATTTTCTGTTCCTCTTTAAATTTTAAAAAAACTCCCACGTTCAGAAAGCTTTTTATTAAGTGCCTTTTTAGCCATGCCACAAGATTAAACTTTCTAATATTTTGATAGATTACCTGTAGCTACATTCAAAGCTAAAGCAGGCTTTGTTTACAGATTTGTTTTTACTGCCACAGTCAGGACACTCCCAAAAGCCAGAATTTGATAAACTAAAACACACAAAGTTCTAAACACACTAAGTTCTCAATGTAAAAATATTGATTTTTAATAAAAAAGCAGGAAAACTTTTTCAGGTTAAAAACTGAATAATTTCAGTTGTTTGTGATCCCTAGGTGAGCTTCATGTTTCAAATTACGCTCCCAAAAACAAGCAAGTTAGTTTAATAAATGTTTACCTTGAAGTTTGAGGTTGAGTGGATACAGGATCTTTGTTTCTGGTTGCCATGTTCTTCGAAGTGGCTGGACTGTTTTTAGGTTCTAGGTTTCTAGGAAAACTCCTGATCTTGAATATGTTGGAGTATACCTCCGGTTTGTATACTGGGGATGCTGTGAATAGTGACCAAGAGGTTCACGAGGTTTATAATAACACCTCAACTGCCTATCTCTGTACCTTTCTAGTTCAGTACTAGTGTTCTTGGTAGTGCTCCTAATAGGTACAGAACTAACTGCAGTAGCATTTTCAGGAGATAATTACCTGTCTTCCTTCATTTTTCTGAAGCACAAACAAATGGATAACAAAATAATTTTCTTATACAATATACAAAATAAACTATTGTATAAGCATCATAAATCTTAAAATTCAAATGTTCAAATTTTAAAAAAAGGACTTTTTTTCAATTACAATGTTTTATTTTCGAACAAGTTTAAGCATGAAATTGTTTATGGAACAAGGAAAAATGTCTGCATAGACTTTTCATTTTTAGGACTTTGAGTGTCAAAGATTCCAAAAGCTTTCTTGGCGGTTACCACATTCATAGATGATGAACACTTTCGTAAATATGTACTGCAAACTATGTTAACATTGTTGAAATTTAGATTTTCTTAAATATGTACTGCAAACTATCTTGACATTGTTGAAATTCCGATTTTCGTAAATATGTACTGCAAACGTATCTTAACACTGTTGAAATTCAGATTTTCGTAAATATGTACTGCAAACTATCTTAACATTGTTAAAATTCAGAGTTTCGTAAATATGTACTGCAAACTATCTTAACATTGTTGAAATTCAGATTTTCGTAAACATGTACTGCAACTATCTTAGCATTGTTGAAATTCAGATTTTCGTAAATATGTACTGCAACTATCTTAACATTGTTGAAAATCAGAAAAATTGGAAACGTTCCATGAAATGTCGTTATAAGACTGCAGCTATAGAACCTTCTGAAGAAATATAAAATGTTGGTATGGCCTATTCAGCTTCGAGTATATTGTTGTTTAACTGTATTTATTAATTAATCTATGGTTCAAACCATCCTTTCTCAAGCTTTTACCCTGTTAATTAATCAGAAGGAAATGATGGGTAATAATTGAACAGATGGTAAGAGAAGAGGTAAAAAATGCAGGGGTGAGGTTGTTAAATGTTCCATTTTGAGGGATACATATTGAGAGTAAGGCAACTAAAGCAACAAATTAATAGTTTCAAATGTCGAGTTAAACAGAATAAATACTGGATAAAGCTTCCTCTTGAAATACTGGATAAAGCTTCCTCACGAAATACTGGATAAAGCTTCCTCACGAAATACTGGATAAAGCTTCCTCACGAAATACTGGATAAAGCTTCCTCTTGAAATACTGGATAAAGCTTCCTCACGAAATACTGGATAAAGCTTCCTCTTGAAAGAATTTCTTACAGTCCTAATTCTGGGAAATCCTGAAATAAATACCGACTATTACAAACGTTGATTTTATAATCCAAACAATTTGTCATGCCATTTTTATAACTATTTGTTAATTTGCTCATATTTTCCTAAAAGCTTTTTTTGGTCATTTAAACAAACAAATTTTCATCTTAACACTCATTATAAAAAAAAATAATTTGCAACATTTGTCCTTACAAATATTTTAAAAATATTACTGTCAATCAAAATGTTCTGAGCTGCGAACTTAAATAACGACTCCTTAATCTTATTATCAAATGTAAACACTTTTTTGAATATAGTTATAAGTACAAGATAATATGTTAGTCTCAAGATTACTAAAAAGAGAGGATCAAGCATTGATATTGATATCCACCATTCTAAAGTTATTGCAACAATACAGAGAAGGAAGTTTTTTAACCATATTGTCTACTGCAAAGCGATTCTATCAATACAATTTTAAGACACATTTTTATTTTTATTCTAACTAAACCATGCTAATAGTATAGTGTCAAATTTAATTTCATCTTTATCATCGTTATTGAATAATATTTAAAAAAATATACTACAAATCATCCTGTCCAAATTTGTAATTTATGAGTATTTTATAGAATTAATTTACACTTTAGCTGAACAATTGTACATGCGTAAAAATATTTCAAATGTTTTAAATGATACAAAAACACTTTCTATAAAATACTTCAATCTCAAGCAGGGGTATATATTAGTTTTGAGACTCCTATTTTTGCCCCCCCCCCTTTTTTAGAATCATATTTGTTCCCCTAACCCGGCCATGGCTTAAAAACAGGTGTATTTGACAAGTTTCTGATGCCCGCGCAAACTTCTAAGAAGTTTGCTGCGGTGGGGGTTGCAGGGGGGCAGAGCCCTCCTTACAAAGAATATTTTTGGATTTTAGTAGTGTAATGGAGTGTTTTGGTGCCCTAAAATGGTCAACTTCAAGGTCCCGTCCCCCCTGAGATTTTTTTAAGGCATGTCTGATACTGTTTTACTTTTTTGTTAAATTTTGGTTTTTTGTTTTGAAGATGCAAATGAAAAAAATATGTTTATTTTACTTACATAAACATTATCATAATTACTTTATCATCATTTCTTATTATATTCTTAATATGTCCAAAAATGTTCAAGGTTCACTGTCTGGCGTCTGCTATATATTTTATATTTTTTGATTTTACTATTTGTTTGTTATGCAAATATTTTCAGTCATGAATGTGTACAGTAAGAGACTAGCTTTTTAGAGGGGGAAACATGATAATGCTATTAAGGGACAAACCTAAAAGGTTTTGCATATTTTCCTCTTTTTCCTTCCTTTTTCATTTCTACTTCCCCCCCCCCTTTTCCTTCCCTCTTCCCCCTTCCCTCTTCCCCCTTTTCTCTTCCCTTTTCCCTTTTCCCTTTCCTTCCCACTTTTTCCTTTTCTCTTCAATTTTCCCTTTCCTTCCCCTTTTTCCTTTTCTTTTCCCCCTTTTCCCTTTCCCTTTCTCTCTTCCCTTTCTTTCCCCTTCCCATTTCTCTTTTCCCCTTCTTTTCCCCCATTTTCCTTTTTTCTTCATTTTTTCCCCCAAACCCATTGAAAGCTCATATTTGTGGGGGTGGGCAAAATGAAAATATACACCCCTGATCTCAAGTGAACTAACATGTTTAACCATTAATAAACCTTACCTGGTTAATCATTACCCAGACCAGGTCAGGCCTGACCTGGTCCAGAATAACCTTGGATGGATCATTCAAGACATACTCTGGACGTGTGATAAAAAATATTTGATTAAACTTTAAGATAGCAAACAGTATGTTAATTAGATTATGATCGGGCACCCGCGCGTATTTTGATTTCAGCGAGGGGGGGGGGGGTTAGGGCGGCCCTGTAAAAATTGTTTAGAGGTGCACTTTTTCTTTTGAATAAATATATATGAAACTAAGAAAAATCCAAATATTTTTTTTAACCATTTTTACCGGTGCCGCCACAAACGGGAATTTTTAGCCATTTTTGAACTTTATTGATTTTCTTTTTTAAGACTTTTATAAAATCCAAAGTTTTTGACTAAGAATAGTGTTAATATCATTTTGGAAATCCCAGATAATGGTCTAAAAGATAAAACCAAATAATACTGAATACTTTGAAAGTTCAAAGTTTTATAAGCAGTTTTAGCGCCAAAATATTCGATTTTATTGATGCCAACCTGTGTGCTCTAGGCCCAACTGGGGGTTAGGTTATACGTACCCAGGTGGAGCAGGTAGAAGGCATCCAAACATAATGGATGAGCATCCAAAATACCCTGGCGCACCTATTTAATGCACGGACAGTCTTTTCAAGCATGATAGGTGTATTCATACAGCTCTAGTCGTGATCTGAAAAAACAATATAAACAGTCCCGACTAGTATAATAATCTAAATCTATTGTTTATACTTAAAAAATAATAAAAGAATTTACAATATAAGCCATTTAAAGTTGCCCAGGATTAGCGTTTATAAAAAATAAATAAAAACACTTACAAAGTTGAACTGGTCAAGGGCAGGGGCGTACGAGGGGGGGGCCGCGCCCCCTGCCCCCTCTACGCGTGCCCCCCCCTGAGAGGCTGAGGGGGGCATCCATGGGGGAGGCTCTTTTAATATTACATCTGCTTGCATTTCCCTTCCTCAGGTCGGCACAGTGGTGTACCTATAAGGGGGGGGGGGCAGTAGTCCTCTTGCCCCCCTGGGAGTTCCAAAAATACAAAATTAAAAGGAAACTACGTTTAGAAAGTAACACCTGACAATGACAAAGACTAAGGATTTGTCTAAATTCACTGTTAATACAAGGAGAGAAATGTTTTAGCCTTCTAAAGAGAATACTTCATTACACAAGATGTACTATGACGGAGAGCAGACTTAACGAAGAAATTTCGTTTATTAGTAAAAATATAATTTTTAATGATGCTGTGATTATTGATTTAGTTAGCTGTGATGGAGTTAGTTTTTCAACCAAAGGAATAATTTTTAGACTCTAAGGTTAGTGACACCCAAAAAAGTAGTCTTTTTGGTGTATTTTTATGGTGAACAAAACAAGACCAGGTGGGAGGGGGGGTGGCAAAAAAAATTTAAAAAAGGTATTAATATTTTTTCAAAAAAGGGGTTTTTAAGGGGGGGGGGGCCAAAATTTTTTGTGCCCCTTCTAAACAAAAGCCCTCGTACGCCCCTGGTCAAGGGGTTTGTAGCCGTTATAGTAGATCTCTATGCTTTGCGAGTTGATCCTGATGTAGGATCGCTAGCTCTGCAGTCAGCTAGGTATCAGGAACAAGACTAAAAATGGTGAGTTGAATATTGGCTCTTTTAGTGTATCTTCAGATCCTTTGCTTAAGTAACAGTTTATTCACATCGATACAGGGACTCATATAAATCTAAATAGTACCTATCAATGATCCGCAGGTTGAGCCTACGATCAGTCTTATCCAGTAGAGGCTGCGAGGTACATGAGAGGTAGATGAGGTACAGCTTATGGTCCGCTGCTAGGAGGATTTCGACCACACAAACTTGAACTAAATAGGTTAATGTTAGAACAAATTTATCATGGGTCTTGAGAGTTCATCATGTCATTCACCTTTTAAATAACAGATGGCTGCACCAGTAGGTGAGGTAGGAGGATTTTCTCGAGAACATGAACCAGATAGAGCACTACAGGTTTACGATGCTCGGGCTGGAGGAGTAGATACTCTCCGCGTGGATCATCGGAAGAGTAGGTTGAGACGGCGTAGAGGAGACCCGTCAGGAGCTGCATCAGACCATGGGTGATGTGAACAGAGGTAGTCGCTTAGCTACTGCATAGCAACGAGGTACGGTTAATCCTAACAAAGGTTTCGTTAGTATAAGTAATGAGTTCAACTGTTAACTTAAGGTTCAAAGGTTCAAATTCACTAATGTTCACCTAGTATATATATCTTTGGGCTGAGCCTTACGAGAGGAACGTGGAGGAAGTGGTATGTTCCCCAAGTATCGGCTTAATGCTGAGTAGGATCAGGTCGGAACTGCTCGATGATGATTTCTCTCAGGGGTGATATCTGAATTCCCATATATAAATCATCTGTGCAACAAGGGCTTGAATTGGAGGATAGACCAAGGAAAGCAATATTAAAAACATTCAGATGGTTTATAAACCTTGATTAAACGCAACCTGGGCAACACTTCAATAGAACCGAATGGGATAATCAACCCATTCTAATTCTGAAAGTAAATATAAGGTTATTTTATAAAGAAAAAGCTGGCTAAACTTTTAACTGCTTCTTTAGGAATAAAACTTTGAGTTCGATACATAAAACATTCTCAATATTTGGTTAAATATGGGTAAATGCAGTTATATAGGAATAAATATATCCAGTTATCATAAGAATAAATATCTAAATATGAGAGCATAATCTTGAGAGTAGTCTATAGTTCACGGCTTAAATGTTTATAAGTTAGAGAGGTTTCTTGAAATCAGCTCTCTCTTGGGAAGTTCGGAGCTCGTCATTCCTCGTTTAGTTTGGTCATACCCTGAACAAAGACGACATTTAGATCTGTACGATCTTACAACTTGCACCTTCCTAACACACGAAACACACCCTTAGAAGTTAAAGAAAAAAAAATTTGTTTTTTTCATTTCTTATATGTTATACTTATTCTAAATGGCATTACTTTTTAAAATACCTTAAAAAATGGTCGAACAATGAACATTTCAAAAACTCCGATTTTGCGATTTATTTTTGAAATTTTTAACTCTCTTAAAATTGTATGTTTTGTTCTTATAAAATGTTCATAAAATACATGGTTTTTGACATAGAATGTTGTTAAATATCATTTTGGAAACCCCAGATACTACCTAATAAGACAAAATTAAAAATTGAAACAATTTCTAATTTAAAAATTTTTTATGCCAATTTAGTCGAAAAACCATCAATTTATTTTACTATAAACTAATCAGGGTCGTAGTGGGGGCAGGGGCGTATTGGAGGTTTAGCCTAGGGGGTGCATTTTTTTGTGCACCCCCCTTACGGTTTACGTACACCCCCCTAAAAAACTGGTATTAAGAAAAAAATAAAGTTTTAAATCTATATAAATCTACCTGAAGGCTAACAATTAGTCATCTGACCATAATTACCAATCATAATATTGTAAATAAGATTAAGGTACAAGAAAGAATTTGAGAAATAATCATAAAATGGACAAATTGTGACATTGATAAGAAAAGTAAATGTATGTAAATATGTAAGTTTTCTGTTTAATAAATTAGAGCCTGCCTCTGGATCTAGGGGGGTTGCCTAGGGGGAAGAGGGGTACCGGCCCCCTCCCAATACGCCCCTGAGTTGGGGGGCGGTACCCCTCATGCCCCCCTAGACATGCACCCCCTAGACCTACATGCCCCCCTCTAGAGCCAGAGGCAGGCCCTAATATATTAAACTTACATTAATATTTTTTTTCATCAATTAACAATGTCACAATTTGTTCAATTTATGATAATTTCTTTAAATCTTTCTTGTATTATTATCATTATTTTTAAAAAAATGTCGGGGGGGTTCCATTTAAAATCCATATCAGTCTGTTCTAAATAAACCTAGAATTCTTTAATTTGGAGGCAGTATTATCCAAGCTTTTAATTATTTTTTTTTAAATTCTAAGACCGTATAATTTGAATGGAAAGGTATTTTTAACCCGTTTTTTAATGATTGAAAACAGCTGGATGTTTCCATAACTTTAAACCAAAAATTCGTTTATTTTTATTATTTTAACCCCTGGATTGAACAATCTTCATCATCAATGTGTATAATGTAGATGAAAACCTTACCCACCAGGCCTATTTATTGGTTAGGAAATATTTATATAGGGAAATTTGAGAACATTTTTATCAACAATGTTTTGGGACATCTCTTCTCTCACAAAACGCCAAAAAATACAGATTAATCTAGTCATAAAATAATTATTATTGATTGCAAACAATTAAAAATATATTTTTTTTAAAAGTTATATAGTTTGGGCTGAGCCCTTCAGCTAGGACTGGCTAGGGGGCCGAGTGCTGCAGCCACTTTATCAAATTAACGAAGTGATACCATTATCTGTATGGGGTTAGGTATGCATGTTAAGACAATTCCATGCCGAGAGCTGTGGCTAAAACAGGCTAGGGGACTGAGCTCTGTGGCCAAAAGCCATGGAACAAGTTGATCCATGCCAAAAGCCAATATGCGGGGTTAGGTTAGGTTCAGACAATTCCTGGGCAGAGTGCTACGGTTACTTAAGAATTCTGTGCATGAGACCTACGAAATGTGTTTATCTTTCCGAACATTTGTCATCTGGCATATAAAATGATGTGCATCCAACCTACAAAATGTGTTCATCCGACCTACAAATGTGTGCATCCGACCTACAAAAGTTATGCATCCGACCTACAAAAGTAGTGCATTCCACCTACAAAAGTTGTGCATCCGACCTACAAAAGTTCTGCATCCAACCTACCAATGTTGTGCATCCGACCAATACTAAAAGGTTGTTCATCTGACCTACAAATGCAGTGGATCCGACCTACCTTCATCCAACCTATCATGATTGAAAATATATTTGTTCAAAAGTAGGCTAAAGGTTATTCTTTGAGATGACACAGGAATTTAACTTGGATATGGCACAGGAATTTAACTTGGAGAAGACACACGAGGAATAACTTGGAGATGACACATGAGGAATATCTTGGAGATGACACAGGAATAACACGGAGATGACACAAAACAATTTAGAAATTATTACATTGAAATCTTCTTGGAGATGACATAGAAATATTTAGAGACAATTATACTGTTAGAGACGACTCAGGTTAATTTTGGAGTTGACACAGGAATATTTAGAGATGACCACGGGAATAACTGGAGATGACCACGGGAATAATTGAAAATGACACAGGGGAGATTATGCAGGAATATTCAGACACTGGAAGCTTCTTGGAGATGACATCGAAATATTTTGAAACATTCTGTTGGTGGTTACACAGGAATATTTAGAGATGACATTTCACATAAAACTATGCTTTTGTTCCCCCCTCCCGTCGGCGTTTTAAATGTTTTCTATTAAAAATTAACAAAAATCTTTCCAGGAATGCTAAAATGTATCCACAAATGTTTGAATTTTCTCTGATTGTAGCATGGGTGTCAGTAAATTGCTGACGAGTTGATAACTGTGCCCTCTAACTCTTTATCTGATTAAACATTATGTAGTCTGCACACCTCAGTAGCATGACTTAGCCCTTAAAAACAGCAAAGAGCAAATTGTCTCTAGAGCGAATCTAGTCGAGAGCAAACATCGTGAATCCGAGAGCAAATGGACTTTGTTAATTAAACAGCAAAACTCAAATTTTCAATTTTAATATTTATCTTTTTTTATTTTAAAGGTTTACTAGATAAAACATGATACTAACCTATACTGATTCCCAAAAAAGGATAGGAGAGTATACTCTTCCAGAGTAATTCTTTCCTGCATAAATAGCCATATGAAATAAAGAACTATATGAAGAAAAGTTAAATTATTGATTGGAAATATGATCAAAGAAGGGAAAGAATCAGGGTGTATGATTTAAGTATTATCCCAATCTGATTTTTAATGATCTATTTTTTGCAAAAACGGAAAAAATAAATGATTATAAATAGAGTAGTAAAAGAACCAGGGGTGTAAAATTTAAAGAATTACTCCCCCTCAGGGGTGAAAAAGTTTTTTCATTCTTTCTGCAAAAAAAAAATTTATTCACTTTCCCCAATTTAGCAAATAAAACCCTGCACAAATGTTTTTGCAATAAGCAAAAAAAATTACATATTTTCTAAAGAAATTTTTTACAAGTATAGTAGTGGAATTTTTTTAAAGAAAATAAACACCCCTGAAACAATTCTTTTTTTATGTGTTCTCAAGAAGAAATAAATGTACCTTAAAGAAGTGAAAGGAAACTACTGAGTAAGCTACTAGACAGAACGGATTAATGAGCAGTATCTGTGACCCAACAGACCAGAGAAACCAACCAACATATGAAGGATGTCGGCAAAAACTGTATATGCCTAAATAATTTGACCAGTCAGCTGGGAACTTTAATATATATTTTTTCTTCCTTAGAAGATCCAACAGAACTTTAGCAATTGAAAACCTCAGTTAATCATTTCTCAAAAAGTAGTTTAAAATAACTTCCTAGACCATATGATGAAAAACAAATTAAGTTTATTCTGCTATTGATTTACCCAAAAATTAACAACTTACATAAAAGCTCTAAATTTTCCCAATTAGCATAAAAATTTTAATGTTTAAATATCAATTCTAAACCAAAAACCGGTATTTAAAAATGTCAACTTACCAGAAGTGACAAGTACATGATGTTCATCTCTTTTATCTTGAACAACATGGTTAAAGTTCTGCCCAGCATTGAACATTGCTAGCTTTCGAAGGATCTCTCCACCTTAAATTATAAATCCTATTTTCCTCCATTTCCAAATATTTTGCCAGGGGTGTATTATTTCTTGAAAATTCATTTCCCCCTCCCCCGCCTTAGAAAATCATTTTTTTGCCCAGAAATTAGGTACGGTTGTACGGAGCACGAATTTTTTTTAGGGTTTTATTTCCTGAATTGTGGAAAATAAAGATAATTTGGGTAACAAGTATCAAAAAGGATGAGAAAACACTCATGAGTGTATATTTTCAAGAATTGTACGTCCTCCCCCCCCTATAGACCCTGTGTAAAAAAGATCATTTTTTTTCCTCAGCTAATGTTGAAATTTCCCCCCCCCCCCAAATGAATCTTTTTTATCAAAAATTTTAGGTGCTTTGTGCTTATCCAATATTTCCTTTTTTTAATCTATTTTCAAAATAACCCTAATTCCTTATATAAAACATTTTACTGTAAAATTTACGCTTGAACAGTAGGATATTCTACTATATTATCCAATAAAAAAAGTCAAAAAGTCAAAAAGTCAAAAAGTAAAGGTTTGTTTTATGTAAATAAAATTGCCTTAAAAATATCTTAAAAATGGGGGGGGGGGGGGGGGGGGNAAATGCGGTTTCTTTTTGAGACAACACTTTAAATGGCTTATTCCCTAAAAGGTGAATGACAAAGTTGATAAAAACCCCACTTTATTCTCCTAAGTAAAATTTTAGCAGTTTGTTTTAAATCTTCATTCTTTAGGTGAATATTTACAAATTTTTTAAATATCATAATCTGAGTTTGTTTCCCTTTTTTCACTTGACAACAAATTTTCTTGTGTTTTTTTATAAAGTTTTTTGTTTATTTTTTTGTGATTTTTCAACACTATTTAATATTTATTTTGATGGTTATTATATCGTTATAACTGAAGAGGGTTAACCTAGACCAAAATAAATATTTTTTTGAAATATGGAACCTACACATATTTTCTATTCTGTGAGGTGTGTAACATCACTAACACCAAATTTGAAAAGTTGATAATATACCTATACATATAGCCAAGCCTAGCAAAGTGATAAATCTGCAATCTTTAATCCCAGGAATAAGGTAAAGCGTGAGCGCATGTTCTGACCAGCTTGCTACTGCAGCAATACCGTACTGTACACTGTGGTTCACCAGGTAGGAGTCAAATGACAAGTTGTTCGGATTAGTTAATCCTAAAATATCAAATTGTTGGATGGATTAGTTAATCCTAAAATATAAGATTGTTGGATGAATTAGTTAATCCTAAAATATAAGATTGTTGGATAAATAAGTTAATCTTAAAATATAAGATTGTTGGATGGATTAGTTAATCCTAAAATATAAGATTGTTGGATGGATTAGTTAATCCTAAAATATAAGATTGTTGGATGAATTAGTTAATCCTAAAATAAAAGATTGCTGGATGGAATAGTTAATCATATTAATGTTTCCTAAATATCCGATTATCACTAAATCAGAGAAAAAAGTTGAATGAATTAAAAGAATTGATACACTTTTAATAAGAAATTTTTTTTCAATATTTTCTGAAAATATAAATATAAAGAGAACAAAATTGATAAATTTTCAATTTTATGTTTACACTTTGGTCAAAAAAAAATTTATTTGCTTCGTGCCATTTACCACAAAAAGTTGGAAGCTTTTTAGAAAAAGAATCCTAGAATATCAAATTATTGGTGGATCAGCTACTTCAAAATTTTCGATTCTCAATAAATCACGAACAAAACAATGAAAAGAATTTTTTAAAAATGTATCAAGTTATTTTACACGAAAAAAATAATAATCTGGTGATTTACATTTGTTCAATTTGATTCATTTTGTTAACGTCATTCATACGAAAAAGTTTAAAAGCTTAAAATTTAAAATAAAAAACGCATTTCTTCAATTAATAAATGATCTCACCTGTAACCAAAAACTCTGAGAAATGGAAGAAAGCTAAAACTGCAATATATAAACCAAATGAATACTCCGAGAACTGCACCCCAATCAGAAACAGATAACCTGGGCAAACTTGTTCACTCAAAATTGAAAATACAAACTACAAGCTCAGTCAACCAAAAACAAAATAACAATATTACATAGCCAGAGGCCGAATTTAAAGAATTTGAGCCGCAGCTTAAATTTAAGCCGCGGCTTAAATATGGATGGTTCCACTTAAAATTGTATCAAACCCCCGATTAATTAGCAGACTTTATTGGTAAATATAAAGAATTATTAGTTGGCCAACAGAGAAAGGAAGTATAATTTCAAGTGACCCTCCATGGAAAGATGGGAATGTCCGATTTACATTTGTTCCCTTGAATCAAACCTTTATCTTAAAAATATTGTGGAAGAAAGTGTCCAATTCTGATTATTCATGTATCTTTGTATTTTTTCCTGCAGTAGAAATGTGTAACTGACAAGTCACCCAATCCACAATTAAAAATAATTAGCTTACAAAATTATGAACAATGATACCTAAATCATAATTAATCAGACAAAGTTTTTAAGGTTATCGTTGAAAATCCTTGCATTTAGAATTGCTTGAAATAACGGATACAGTCCTTTTAACCCATAAAAAAGTGTATACATTTATAAAGGAAACCTAGACAACAACAATATCAAGAACAAAAAAGCTGATGTATTGAGTTCTCCTAAAATGTAAATAACAAAAAAAAAGGCAATAATTTGTATATTTATGAAAATAATCAGTAAAATTCATCCAAATTAATCTAACATGTTCCTTTGTGAGATGATGCTAAGAAGAGATAGCTGAAGGAAGAGAATTGTAAGATTGGGTTGAAGGAGAGAGTGAAATACACTCACAAAAGGATTCTCATCCACGCCCTAAAAATAACAATAAATCTGGAACCAATGATTTCTAAGATAAAAAATTGTGTTTAATAATGATGTAATCATCTAGCTATATATACATATATATACTAGCTTGGGAACTCAACCTTACCTAGGGTACTCAAAATTAATCAGTTTACCCGCGCTTTGTTGTGAATTACGATTTAAGCATTTTTTTTCTCGATGAAGTTGACTAACTCAACTTAGAATTTTAAAACCATGCTAAGAACATTTCCGTGGTCCTATCGAGTTCCTTGATAAAAATTTGAGAAAAATAGGTCCAGGGGTTTATGAGTTATGATCGGACAAACAAACAATCAGACAAACAGAGATTACAACTTTATATATATAGAAATAAAATTGTAATCTTTTTCTATGTTTGTTGGGAAGTCTAATCATAACTAATAAACCCCTTGATCGAATTTACCTCAATTTTGAACGGGGAGCTTGGTAGAACCTCTGTAATGTTCTTGATTCAAAAGTTCTAAGTTGAGTCGGTGGACTTTTTATAAATGACTTTTGTGCAATTTTAGTTTCCAGGCAAAGCTTGTTTCCAAAACAAATAACTTCTAACAATTTCATTGCTAAAATAATACATGTCATACATCGTGGAGATTTAGTATTTTAGAGTCCTGCTTGAAGCGTACATTTTTAAAATCTTATTATTGTTAAAATCTATATTTTGGTTGAAAACATACATTTAAAGTAACGGAACTGCAAATATACTGCACTTGTAAAATTTTAAGTAGATATTTAGATAAAAAAAAAATTCAAATATTTAGATCGGTATCATAGAACTCATGTATAAAAATGAAAAACTGAGACAGCGCGATTTAAACGTTTCAACATTCTCTTTAAACAAATATTTGAAAAAATCAAAGTATAAGACTGAAAACCAAAACCAATATTAAAAAATTCCAAAAAAATCCGATTTTTAATCAATAAAAAAAAATATAGAACCTTTTGAAGGGGAATAGACCAGTAGGAGCTCAAACCTCCAAGGAACCCAAACAGTCCTGAAAACAATACTTTGAAATAATAATAAAAAGGTTCAATTTAATTTTATTATATAAAACAATCGCACAACAATTTTTGGGTCTGTCCAAGTGAACGATTTTTGGACCCCCCCAGGGGGGGGTCCAAAAATCGTATACTAGGACAGACCCCACTTCCTGTAAGACTCATGTACAAAATTGATAGGAGGGGGGACGGGCCTGGGGTCCAAAATTCGTTCTCTCGGAATATACCCAATTTTTTTTAGCTTTGGGTTTTGAGAGAAATATTTTTTTGATATACTGCCCCTTGGTTCCTCATCCATGGATCGTCACGGATCTGAATCCCAAGCACTGCATTATTGATCCCCAGCAGATGTTCCCAGCATTACATTAATTAATGCAATATATGTACATTACCTAACTTAGTTAATGTCACCATGGTGAGGTCTAGACACAGACGAGTTACATGCTTTGTTATAATAAACCTGAAATTAAGATTTTATAAAACTTATTTCTTGTGAAACTCGGGATAACAGGGGGTTAGGTTAAGTTAAGACACTTTCTGGGCCGAGCGCTGCGGCTAGGACAGGCTAGGGGGCCAAGTGCTGTGGCCACATGGTCAATTATATCAATTTATTTATTATTATTTAGGNTAATTAAGCCCCCCGCCCCCCCCCCTCCTATCAATTTTGTACATGACCTTTAATTTTAAGTTATTTTGAATTATTACAGGGTTAGATTAGGTTAAGACACCTTCCAAGACCTTGCTCAACCTGCTCTTGTGCGCCGGTATCCCGAAGATGTCGGGCTCCGACAATCCGCACCCGCCATCGGGTGCAAACTGCCGGGCCCTGACCCCGCCAGATTTCGACAGACACCTACCGACAGTGTCGGGTTCCGTTTGTCGGGCTCGTCAGGCCCGAGGCCCAGATGCTCTTACCGCTTGTCCATTTACATTCCTGCTAAGTGCTAGTGGCTTTGCGGAGCTGTCCAGGAAGGGAATCTCTCGCTTCGGCCGTCCGAATGCGAGTAAGTTCTTAAAAAAATGAAATACAAAAATAACGAAGCACCAAATTTTGAAAATGCCGAGATCGAAAATGAATTTTTACAGTCGTTGATAAGTTAAAATACAGGGTGTCCCACGTAACATGACATTTAATAAACAGTTATTTTTAGTTAAACAAATCTTTTACTTGATTATATTTTACTTTGAAATCGATTTTAATATAACATGACTCCCATATAATATATTTACTGCTCTTTAGTATCAAACAACTGAGCATAATAATGGAAAAAGACATAACTATTCACCAACTGTCATGTTTCGTGGACACTCTGTAAGTTAGAAGTGTCGTTAATCAATCTAGTTGAGAATATTACGCGGGACCCGGCTTAAATTGCGCATATTCAATAATTTTTCTTTCGAATGACTTGTTAATTTAAAGAGTGAACAGGCAGCTTTTAACGGCGTTAATAGAAGGATAAATATTTTGATAATAAAGAATTCTGTTCCTATTTTCGTTCATTGTTCATTTTGCCGAATTATTTAAGATGAAAAATGAGTGATCCGTTTAAATCTCCGAAGCCTCGAGATCCAAAGATGGAAATTATCTTTGAAGATGTTTCGGCGGCTAATGACGGAATACAAGAGAAGGAGAGTGTAGAGTCTCAGGCTGGGTTGTACAGCGGAAGGGACGGAGATGCCCTTGCGCTAAACAAGGACGGATATGTACATTCTGACCTAATTGTGGGTGTACAGGGTCAACAAATTGCTCACCTTAGCTATTTTTGTCCAGGTAAATTTTAAGTACTTGTTAGCAGGTTTTCAGTGTAGAAAATAGTATTCGGCATCTCCTAGAGACCGCTTTAGCAACCCGCCCGACACTCTTTTCAATTGTAACAACGATTTAAGCAATCTTATTTACATTNTCCTCATTGCCTGTCCTAGTTGCACCACTCTCCCTCACCCATTTCGTGTAGCCGCAGGGCCCCCCTGTCCTGTTCTCGACGCAGCGATCGTGCTATAATTTGTCTCAACCCGTTATTCCCCCTGAATAAATAGAATACTGATGTTAGAAAACTGATTGGGGGTCGGGGTCCAAAATTTGTCCAAAACTCATAATCTGTCTTCCTCTAGAAATCTTTTAACCCAAAATATGTTTTATCATTAAATGGCCAGGGATGTACTGGGGTGTATTTTCTAAGAATTTAATTTTTTATAGACCAGGCAGGGGTGTATATTTTCTTGTAAAATTAATTCCCCCCCCCGTTTATTTATAAATAATTGTTTTCTCCCACAAGGTGTATATAAGAAATACTTGCCTGACTTATTTTATGATTTTATTATTTTTAATTATTATAGGGTTAGATTAGGTTAAGGCTCACCTCAATTTGCACTGATTAAATCTTATGTATATATTTCAGGTAGGCAGTTTATACAGGACTCAACCGTGAACTGAAAACACAATAAATCAGTTCAGGGTTAATTATATTCATGACAATAATAAAATTTTAGCCTCTAAAATAAAACTTTCTCCAGGTTAATTATTCAAATATATATATAATAAGAAAATAAACTTACAATGTTGATTTGTCCAGAGGTTTGTAGCCTATAGTTCATTAGATTGCACCGCAGTCGCGAACAGAATAACTAAATATGAGCTTATTTAGTCTAATCAAAGTTTTCATTTGTCACTTTAAATATCCTTATTAAGTGGTGACTTTCTCACATTAATCGCAAGCATCGTGAATTAGATTATTACCTGTATTTGATCTAAAGGAGGAGCTTAGATCAGGGATACAGAGTAGGTTCTTCTCATCGGAGGTGCCGGAGAGGATATAGAACGAAGAATATATTCGTCGGAATTTAACAGTTCTTCTCGTCGGAGATACCGGAGAAGAGGTTACAACTTAGCCAAAGTTGTGGAGGCCTGGTACGTAGAGGTAGATATGTCTCTAGAGTACCAGCAGGATATTCTGGAGTATAAGCTGAGGATCCAGAGAAACAAGGATAGCTCAGCTTCCGGTGATGTCGGAGTCTTGGCAACGGAGGTCTAATTAAAACTAATTAGACCGAGTTCCAAAGCTCAAAGGTTGTGAGCTTTGATCCTCACCTTTACGTGGACTTCCTTAGACTCAGAACGTCAAGATTAGTAGGTGGGATTAGAAGAGAACTGAACCATCTCAGGAATCAAACACACAGGGGAGATCATCTGGATGTTGAAGAGGAGTAGAACTTATCCGCGAGTCAGCGGAGCAAGTCAGGTTATATATCAACGGGACTCGTGCCAGCCTAGCATGAGAATTATGTTGAGAAATTTGTGAGAAGTCACGATATTATTTAAGCTCATTTTAGATATTTGCAATTTTTCACCTGGTTTAATGCACGGAGACATACCCGGACCTATTCTTTAGTCAGAAATCACAATCAATCACAATATATCTACATATATTCTATAAACCATCCGTAGGAGTAAAATTAGCCAACGTTGTGTAGAGAGCCTTGAACATTTATTACGGATGATTTATAGAACTGGAGAAAGAAACACGAACTCTGGTTAGAGGATTTCAACTAACCCATCGTGTTCTGAAAGATAAAACTCATTATTTAAAAGCTTTAATTTAGGCTTTAAGGCTAGACTTTTTAAGTTAATACAGGTTAGACTTTTCAGGCTTGTAAAACTTTTATACAGTTCTTTTCTGTAAAACATTTCCATTTATAAAATTAAAGTCAGATTTGAGAATACAAAAATGGCATTTAAATGGTTAAAAATTAAAATCTCAGTTTATAACAAATGTTTTGAACACATAAATGGTTGTAGGATCGATGCATTTGTAGAGATTTGTAGGATGGTTGATTTGAAATAAGACTTCTCTGTTGAACACATTGAATAACGTCTCGATGCTGAATACCCTGAACATATAATAGTTTAAAAAGATCAGCAGATCTTACAGGGGGACCTGAGCTATTCTAATATTTTCTAAGGAGATGAACCACAAAGTTATGTAGGTTTGTATATTTCTCTTCTGTGACGTAATAGGATAGCCGACCTAGTTCTGTCATAAACAAACAACACTTCGTTATAACTTATATTACCACTGTCTTCTGATTGTTGAATTTTTCCTAATTATGAAATTCAAACAAATTTAGTTCTACATTTTTTGCAATGAAAGATCCAAACAATAAATTATTATGCTTCATTAATCATCACCTTTTCATATTTTGCTTTAACATTCTCTTTTAATCATATTTTTTAGGATTGCATGGGAAAGATACTAAACAAACAATTGCCAGGGAAGGAATTCAGTTTAAAATTCCTAAATATTTTTTTTTTCGTTGTTTTTAAATAAATCTCATTTTTTTTGTTAATTAAATACACTATTACTGTTTGAGATATCCTCTGAAATATTGAGTTCTTTTATTTTATATTTTCACATTTCCCTTGTGCGTCAGTTTGGTCTGTAATAAAACTGAGTTTTGACCCCAGGAAACGGTTTACCGACCTTCTGTCTGGAGAAAACCGGTTTTTTATTCCAATAATTCAACGCCGGTACTGTTGGCACGATAAAATGATTCACAGGTAACAACATAATTAATTAACTCTAACAACTCAATCATTAGCACTTTCACTTTCTCTTAATCATTTGCTCATTCACTCATTCACTCACTTACTTACTCATTCACTTAAAGGGACTCAAGTGACCTTCCATGCAAAGATGGCAATGCCCGATTTACAACGGTACCATTGAAAAGCTTTGTCTAATTAAATATGAATTATATATCACTGTTTTTGTTTTATTAAACTGTTTATTTACATTTGCGGTTTCTCTGCGAAAGTGACTTGCGCATTTCTTGCGTATAACCAGCAATGGAGAACTCACAGCTAGGAATAAAAACTTTTCTAAGTTAGAAGAACGACGTTATTTTATACATTTTTGTCGGGATTAAGGTGTCATTGGTACCGTTGTAAATCGGGCATTGTCATCTTTGCATGGAGGGTCACTTCAAATAACGCTTAAAGTCCCTTTAATAGCTCATTTTATCTTTTAGTCACTTACATACTTACTTACTCTTCGCTCATTCGCTCACTCACTTATTTACTTACTTACTCACTTGCTTACATATTTACTTACTCCCTTACGTATTTACTCAATTACTCCTTATTTACGCAATTACTCACTTTTAATAGTGGGCGGAATTATTTCATAATAAAAATAAAATATATATCTGTTTTCCTGAAATATCAATCATTATATTGACCACAAATTATATAATAAGTGGTAAAATGAAGAAATTATATTCACATTTAGAGGGGGGGGGGGTGTATGTTTTAATAATTTGAAAATTTTCTTTCAATCACGAAGTTTTGCGCGGAGTTCTTACATTTTTTTCTCGCATATTTGTATTCGTTAACGAATTACATCTTTATCCTCATAAGATTAGTTTTATATCATATTTGTAAAGTTCCATGAGTACATACCCAAGAAATTAGATTTAACAAACTTCTGGTGAAATACAACTATTTCAAGTTGGAACAATTGACATTATGAAGGGATGCAAATAATTTTTTATATTTTATTGATGCTCTTGTTCTGACTATCGCTGTTTTTTTTTTTATTTTCTAATGTTACAATGCTAATATGTTAAAAACCCTTTAATAAGTAAAAGTCGATTATTCATTTGAAAATAATGCATGTGGTGTGATTGTTTCCTTAGTTAAGTTTGTTCATCAATAATGCATTTGCTTGATTTTTCAAGTGTACGCTACATTTAAATCTAACGTGATGAATGTGCCCTGAGTTTTTAGATGGGGGAGAAGGTAAAGCATAGTAGTGGGTTTTCTTAATCTACTGATCAAAATAGTAAATTCATTTACAGAAGAAATCGTTTACTGGATATTAAATCCTTAATCATCCAATGAGAGGAGAGAAAAGCAGGTTATCTACCAAGAACCAGTTCAAGAACTGAAATGATGAAGATCTGTTTCTACTATGTGAGAATCAAGATTTTATTGCTATTGAGTGCTATCACCACACTAAAAGTTTGTGACACTGTTATTTTAATAACTAGTTTTTTAAACTAACCTGTTGATTTTGTCCAAATATATCAACTGAATTAAAAATCCTCCAGAAGGTCTGTTTAATAATAATAATAAGGATACATAATTGATATATTTAGTTGGTTTGATGCTACAAGACATGGTACTAGGATACATAATACTGATATATTTAGTTGGTTTAATGCTACAAGACATGGTACTAGGATATATAATACTGATATATTTAGTTGGTTTGATAATACAAGACATGGTACTAGGATACATAATACTGATATATTTAGTTGGTTTGATGATACAAGACATGTATTAGGATACATAATACTGATATATTTAGTTGGTTTGATGATACAAGACATGTACTAGGATACATAATGCTGATATATTTAGTTGGTTTGATGATACAAGACATGGTACTAGGATACATAATACTGATATATTTAGTTGGTTTGATGATACAAGAAATGGTACTAGAGATCATCTTGGGATACATAATACTGGAAACCTAGTTGCTAGGTGGTCAGATCTGGATCAAGGTGATTTAAACTTCTCAATAACAAAACAAATTTTAAGTCCAGGGCTTTTTCACTAAAATTATCAAAAACATAAAATTAAACCTAAAATATACGTAATAGTGTTTTCAGAAGGGAAGGAAGTTCTAAGAACAGTCTTAAAACAATTTCACATTTTATCTGATAACACTAGAAAACTATTGATTCGTTTTCAATACGTGATTGATTGATTGATTGATTGAGATATCCAAGAAAAGATGCAGGTTTGCAATCTCAATAATGTTTTTATGTTTTAAGAGAAGACTTTAATATAAAAAACGAACTTTATTCGAAATTAAACCGCTCCCATTCGATTTGATGATTTGATTTGATTTGATTTGATTTGATTAGAGGATTTTTGATNATTTGATATTTGATTTGATATTTGATTTGATATTTGATTTGATGTTTGATTTGATGTTTGATTTGATGTTTGATTTGGTTTGATTTGATTATAGGTTACATTCTGATAGATGGACAGCAGCGGGTCACTACAACCATTCTTTTCCTAGTTGCTATCAGGTTAATGACTTCATAGTGTACGTTAAGGGGTGTATATTTTCTTGAAAAATCTCCCCCTTTAAAATCTTCCTTTTTTGTTCCAGAAGTTGGGAATGTTTTTTTATGATTTTATTCGATGAATAGAGAATAATAAATGATTTTAATGAAGAATAAAGTATCAAGTAGGATGACGCAACTTTTCATTTTTATTCAAGATAATCAAAAATCACCGGGTGGGGGGGGGGGGTATTTCTTGAAGTTTGTCAAATTCAAGAGAAATTCGACTAATTCAGTTCTACCTTTTTTCAGTGAAAATTTTAAGCGTTTTGCAATTTACCATTTGACACCATTTAATTATAATTAATCCTGCTAAATTAACAATTTCATGTGTAAGGGATGTTATGAATACAATCATTGAACGACATCCTGGTAAAAATGCCGAGGAGGAAGAGATATCTGCCAAAATACTCAACAAGATATCCAAGGTAAGGGAATGAGAAACTAAAGCATTATTCTCAATTTACATTATAAGGACTGTCGACGTTTGTTCAAGTTATCCCCTTTTTAAGGAGTTAAGGTCCCATACACAACGGTACTTTTAAAACCTTTCTCAGAGGAAAAAATGCATTTAATTTTGATCCGGATCCGGATTCTAAAACTTAGTGAATATTAGTATTGTTAATCTTTTACTAGTCAACAATTTGGATTTGTGTTTTGAGAGTCTTGGATCCGGATCCAGGAAGCCGAAATTTTGCGGATACAACGGATCCGGATTCTGAGCACTGGCAGTAATGCAGGTTAATTCATTGTTTTCTAATTGAAAATTGATAATCTTCAACAGCGATTTGTTTGGATGACCGCAACAGAGACTTGATAGAAAGATATTGGAATAATTTATCTCGTTTAGAAATAAAATCCGACAAAATCCTCATCCTTGCTGGTCAGATAATAGATAATGGCACCGTGGTGAATTCATGACGTCTATAAATGTAAGGACTAGGGTTACTTGAATTTACGCCTACAGTACCTTCAAGGGTATATACTGTTGTGAATTAGGCATGTAATATGATAAGTGAATTATTTTAGATGTTGTACATAAGTGGTAACAGTCGTCTGGTTCCCTGCTTTCTAGATAGAGAAGCGTTCTATTCAATCCTTAACAAACAATCCTCACAGGATACATCATCTTACCAGGTTAGAATATACGATTAAAAGTTTTTTATGTTAATTTTTATGCGGAATCTTGTTTTACTATTCAAAGATTAAGATTTTTTTCTTTATATTTTCTTAAGATCTCCATAGGGACCGTGTTGAGCGCACACTATTTTACAATATTAATAAGATTATTCTAGATTGGAGCTTACAAGATCCTTTGCTCCAGGATACAAGATGAGTTGAGGAGTAAACCTAGTCTCATGGAGCAGTTGGAGATATCCAGGGAGATTTTATCCCAGGTACATGATAAGTATTTAATTGATATCGTAATTTATATCGACTAACAGCCATACCGCTGCGTTTTCTCCAAGTTAACAGAAATATTTCAATACTAGGTTGGTAACCCAGCTTTGCCTGTAAACATAACTTTCGATAAAAAGTCAACCTACTCAAATTTGAATTTCGTTTATCAAATTTGAGGCAAATCGGTCCTGCGGATTTTGAGTTATGATTAGACACAAAAAAACACCATAGCAAACAGAGTTATTTCTAAAGATGTTTACTATTTAGTGTGCTAGACTGATGGGAGTTACGTGGGTGAGCATAGAGAATCCAATAGATATGTCTCAAGTCTTTCTGTGGCTTCAGGTTGGTCTACATTATTGATAAGGTTCATATATTTTCTTCTATTCAAACAGTTTGTCAACGTAAAACTTCTCACAGTTTGAACAATTGTAATCCTTAAAGGGACTGTACGCTTAATTTCAAGTGACCCACAACTTATCTAGACACATGTCCAATAAAAACTGTACCCATAAAAACATTTTTTAATTTCTGATTGAGCCAGAATTAGATATCAATGTTTTTTTTAAAAAACTGATAATTTCACTTAAATTTTTAGGAGAAAAGTTTTGGCGCCGGACTAATGTTTGATATTCCACGCCCTGGGGAAACATTAGTATGTGCTGACCTAGTTCGGAATAGGGTTCTCTCATTTCTTCTCAATAAACCACTTCAGGAATACACACATCAATCGTCTTAATATCAACTTCTCACCAAGGTACTAAGGCAAGGAAAGTTATTTCAGAGGTGTACGCATTTTTTTACTACAGTGTACTGTCTTTGAGCGGAATAGTAAACACAAGACGGATGTCACAGCCTGACATGGAATCCATTTCCACAAAAATAATTTATGAAATATACTGTTGTGAATTAGGCATGTAATATGATAAGTGAATTATTTTAGATGTTGTACATAAGTGGTAACAGTCGTCTGGTTCCCTGCTTTCTAGATAGAGAAGCGTTCTATTCAATCCTTAACAAACAATCCTCACAGGATACATCATCTTACCAGGTTAGAATATACGATTAAAAGTTTTTTATGTTAATTTTTATGCGGAATCTTGTTTTACTATTCAAAGATTAAGATTTTTTTCTTTATATTTTCTTAAGATCTCCATAGGGACCGTGTTGAGCGCACACTATTTTACAATATTAATAAGATTATTCTAGATTGGAGCTTACAAGATCCTTTGCTCCAGGATACAAGATGAGTTGAGGAGTAAACCTAGTCTCATGGAGCAGTTGGAGATATCCAGGGAGATTTTATCCCAGGTACATGATAAGTATTTAATTGATATCGTAATTTATATCGACTAACAGCCATACCGCTGCGTTTTCTCCAAGTTAACAGAAATATTTCAATACTAGGTCGGTAACCCAGCTTTGCCTGTAAACATAACTTTCGATAAAAAGTCAACCTACTCAAATTTGAATTTCGTTTATCAAATTTGAGGCAAATTGGTCCTGCGGATTTTGAGTTATGATTAGACACAAAAAAAACACCATAGCAAACAGAGTTATTTCTAAAGATGTTTTCTATTTAGTGTGCTAGACTGATGGGAGTTACGTGGGTCAGCATAGAGAATCCAATAGATATGTCTCAAGTCTTTCTGTGGCTTCAGGTTGGTCTACATTATTGATAAGGTTCATATATTTTCTTCTTTTCAAACAGATTTGTCAACGTAAAACTTCTCACAGTTTGAATAACTGTAATCATTAAAGGGACTGTCCAATACACAACTGTAATCATAAAAACATTTTTTGATTTCTGATTGAGCCGTAATTAGATATCAATGTTTTTTTAAAGAAAACTGATAATTTCACTTAAATTTTTAGGAGAAAAGTTTTGGCGCCGGACTAATGTTTGATATTCCACGCCCTGGAGAAACATTAGTATGTGCTGACCTAGTTCGGAATAGAGTTCTCTCATTTCTTCTCAATAAACCACTTCAGGAATACATACATCAATCGTCTTAATATCAACTTCTCACCAAGGTACTAAGGCAAGGAAAGTTATTTCAGAGGTGTACGCATTTTTTTACTGCAGTGTACTGTCTTTGGGTGGAATAGTAAACACAAGACGGATGTCACAGCCTGACATGGAATCCATTTCCACAAAAATAATTCATGAAATATTCTGGTCATAGGAAACAATTATGTGAATTTTCAAAATTATCAATATTAAATGCTTTTAACCTCCTCGGATACTAAACGAACAAGGATGCATCTTTTCTTGTTTACAAATTCCGCCCAGAGAGAACTGGTTTCAATATGTACGCAGAGTATACGCGACCGCAATTAACTTTCCTTGCATTAGTACCTTGTTTCTCACCATTTATTTAAAATAATGTCTCAGTCCTGCATGAGCTCACTTTTCTCGTTTCTTCTTAGCAGAAAATACGATAATAAAATCTTAGGCTAAAATCGTTATTTAATACCAAGCGCGGATTAATAATAAAATATAAACCTGGACAACGCTGGGTTCTCCAGCAAGGTAAAACTAAAGTTGATTATGTGTTTGTGAGTGAAGGAGCAGGATGATTTCTACTTGAAGGAGTGGTTGATTCCGCTGGAGCAAAACTTTAAATCCAGGTTGGGGAAAAAACACTTAATAATTTTCTAAAATACTTTATTAAAGCTGAAACTTATAAGAATTCAGGAAATTTCCACAATTATGATTCATGGCTAATCAATGCAGCAACAGGTTTTTAAGAAGACGATGTTGGCAATCATTTTCATGTTTAAAGGGACTGTCTTTGTATTTTCAAGTGACTCTTTGATCAGACAAAGACATTTGTAAATCTGATATTCCCTTCCAAATTGAGATTCACTTGAAATTATATTGACAGTCCCTTTAGTAGTACATCTTGTACAGTGTACACCGCAGGGATAAATAATAAATGTTATCATTTATATTCCTCCTCCTTCTACTCAATATTCTAGGGATGAGTTTAATGCCAGCATGAAGAGGTATACGGAGACAAGAAGACAAGCTCTCCAGGGACATTTAATGAATTTGAGCCAGGCCTAGAGACGATTTAACAACGTATTTTAAATGTTGAGTAAACTCCACATCAGCAAATAGTTTAATTGAATCGGCGGTAGGTAGTTCAGCGCTCAAATTCATAAAATTCGGCCCCAGGTTAAATCAGATTTCGAGAAACAGATGGAAATACTTTTCAAATCCTGCACCGGGGATACTTACTTGGAACTTTCAGCGTACTCAAGGAACGGGAACCCCTTCATTCATTTTTTCCTAATTTTACTATTTTTAAAATAAACGGAGGAAAAAATAAATCAGCTTATGTAAACTATTTATCAAGAGATTTATCAAGATCAGATATATCAAGAACTTTCTATAAAATAGATTTTTTTTTTGTACTCGACCAATTGCTTGCTCATGATCTGGATCTATTGGATCTGCACATTTTGGCTTCCTGGATCCGGACCCGCCAAAAATATGCGGAACCACGGATCCGGAGCCAACGGACAAAATATCAACCAAAACCTGCTTAAAATGTACTTTTTGCTCTGAAAACACAAATCTTAACTGTAAACAATGATCGATTATTATAAATTACGTTTTGTCTCTATGGTTCAAAATATAAATTGTCGGAAAAAAAGGAAATAAAAATAAGTATATCTTGAAAAAAAATTTATGTCCTGGATCCGGATCCGCATCAGTATTAAATGATTCCGAAGCACCGGTGTATAGTACAGTTTAATTTATTCCCATATTTTTCCCTTCGTTCTCTTTAAAGTTTTTAAATTACCTAATTCAATGTTGTTAATATCTCTTTAATTAGTCTTTTCTCATTTAATGCTTTGACAAGAAAAAAACTTTCTGAAGAATGTTGCCTCGTATTTTAGGTTTATCACGGTATTCGAGAATATGAAACCAAGGAACCACAATGAGCACCATAAAGATATATCTCATGAAAAGTTTATAATCAATGATATGAAAAAATTCTTTTTTTCCTCATAATTAATTGAAGATATAGATAACATTCCAATGTGATATATGGGCCTAATTGATATTTTGATCAGAGGACAATTCTTTTCCGTTTTATGATTCCTGACTTTAGAGTTGTTTTTTGATTTTTTGTGTCGTTTCTACGTTGTTTTTACTTGTATTACGTCATCAGACGAGTCTCTTATTTGTACATGTTAACACTAAAAGGGGGCCTATACAGGATATACCCCCCTCCACCACGCCTTTTCTGAATGAGACCTGCCCCCTTTAACACGTAGATGCATTATCCTCCACTGTAGATTTGATAAATATAGTTTTAAGATTGTCATTGAATGATTGAATTGTTTAGGTATCTTTTAAAGATATGATCGACAACAATTGTGATTATACTGTGAAGGGTTTCCAGCGAACGAAATCTTTCGCGAAAAATGCAAAAATTTTCGTAAATTTTCGTTCGTATTTTGAAAACTTGATACCGAATTTAACATTTTTTCGGGAAAATTTGCGAAAGGAGGCGAAAATGACCTGGGATTTCGCGAGAAAAAAAGTACGACGATTTTGAGTCAAAAAGGAGAAAATAAATCGGGGGTTTTTGTTAAATTTTGCATAAATCAGTTTTTGGGAAAAATTCGAAAGTTTTGCTAAACATAATATTTTCGCGAAAAATGCGACATTTTCGCGAAACGATTTCCCGGTTTTGCTGGAAACCCTAATTATGTGATCAGATTTCATTTCAGTATTGTTTGTTTACCTGATTCTAAACCATAAAACATTGGAATAGGAAGACGACATGTCAGCAAACTAATGTTTAGATGATGTTGTAAGAAAATAGTTTTACCAGAAGCTCGAAAATCGACTAATTAAGTTAAGTGGGTCTGTATACACTGCACAAATTTGTTCATGTTCATTGGACAAATTCGTAAGTTGCTTTCTATTCCAGAGTTTTATGGTTCTTACTGTAATCATTGTATTTGATATGTCGTTGATGCAAAGAAAATTTACAAATATTTTATTTTCAGATTTCAGTTCCAGAATGCCGACTTTTAAAATCAAGGAAAGTAATATATCTAAATTCAATCCATATTTGAAACAGACAAAATAAAAATCTGATTTTCAGTTTATTTCACATTTTGCAATTATATTCATTTTGATGATTAATAAACGAAAATTTCAAGGAAAAATTCGAATTTTCATTGCCTTTAAACAAAAGCTTTAATGTTTGTTCATATTAGAGGCTTTCATTTGTCGAATGATCATTTTGAAAGAGATTAGAACCCAAAATCAAACCCACCAAGCTTTGATCCATCCTTTATTTCCTGAAAAAATCTAATTCTCAAAACTTGGAATATTTGAAAGAAAATTATACCCAAAATCAATTCCACCAAGCCTTGATCCATCCTATATTTTCCAAGAAATCTTATTCTCAAAACTAGAATATTGCATTGGTTTAGGTAAAATGGGGAAAGGAGGTTTTTCAAGATGTGGAAGTAAATACAGACGAAGAACCAATGGTTTTTAAGGTAGGTTTTACTTATTTTTTTAAAAACCAACAGGGTTGTCTACATGAATTTAAGTGACCCCATGGCCATTTTAAAGAGTCCCGATTGACAACAGTACCATCCAGACCTGTGTCTGAGTAACCATGACGAAGATAATTGTATATAGTATCTGAAAAAGTTATGAATTCTGTTAATTTCCTCATTTGTTCTGGAGCATATATCCACAAATCACTGTTACAGTGAAACCTGAGCTGAAAACTTTAGAATTGCATACCCTTAATTCTGATCGCATAATCTGAATATCCATTATGGACAATTTTAATTTTCTTTTTAATCCCCTCATGTTGGATATCACATTTCCAGTACATATGAAAAACATACGTTTGATATCAAATACAGATACGATGCTATATGGATTGGACTAATATTCGATTAAGCTAAAGTCAGCTGTTCACAACCCTTCTTTTAGAGCATTAAACAAATATTAATTTAATCATGTTAATATCAACCTATTACAAAACATATTTTATCACATTTAAGAACTAGTCCCTTTAAACATTAGTCTTAATGAACACTAATCCAAAACTTACGTCCGATCAATCGATCATTAGCCCCAGTACTATAATCCTTTTAAACATTAGTCTTAATAAACATTAATCCAAAACTTGCGTCCGATCAATCGATCATTAGTCCAAGGACTGTAGTCCTTTTAAACATTAGTCTTAATAAACATTAATCCAAAACTTACGTCCGATCAATCGATCATTAGCCCCAGGACTATAATCCTTTTAAACATTAGTCTTAATAAACATTAATCCAAAACTTGCGTTCGATCAATCGATCATTAGTCCAATTGATATGACACCACAAATGCAGGAAAATTAAAAACCGATTTTTCAAAAGAGCGCATCTCTAATCTCTAGAAGTTAATCTAAAGACTAAATTAGTCTAGAGATCAGCAAAAAGCAAGGATCAAGCATTAATCTCGATATCCACCATTCTAAAGTTTTCAGCTCAGGATACTTACAGCATTTTGCTCAGACTAAGGTTTAAAAGGTACAGTGTTTGTTTAAGGAATATGGAACTTTTTAAATGGAGGGTCAATTAAAATTATGTTCACAATCCCTTTAATGTATCTCAAAAGACAAAATAAGTTTAGTGAAACGATATTTTAGGTTCTGGACCATACTGCAATAAATCCCTTTCTGCATATACATAATATACTTTGCTTGTCTGTTTATTTGTCTTGGTGTCTATTTGTTTGTATCCAATAAACGTAAAAACGGCTGAACCGATCGGACCAAATTATGTCCCCACATAATGATCGAATTTTCGAAAATTTTCCTCTAACAAAATTCTATTTTAAAAAATTTTTTAAATCGACGAAACATCTTTTAATAAAATCCACGAATTTTTTTTAAACAAAAAGAAAATGTTCACAACTGAAATAGGAGATGGCCGCGAAGCGCCCTGAAAGCCTAGTTTATTATTGTTTACTTATCTAATTATACAAAGTGACAGGTTTGAACTTAAAAACTTAAATGCAGAACAAAAGGAATTTTATTTTTTTTTACTGAAAAATATGGATTTTGGAAGTCTTGTCAAATACTTATTGGTTTATGCTAAACCTATAAAACGGTGTAATTAGAAGTTAATTAGATTTTCCACACTTTTCTAAAAACCGTGAACAATCCCTTTAAATAAATGTGAAAAATGTCAACTATTCACTATTCAGGCACAGCTTTATGCATTGACTGGGGTACAGCCAGAGAGACAAAAGGTTATGCTCAAGGTAGGTCTTCTTACTTTTGTATCTATCTATTCATCTATCTATTCATCTATATATCTATCTATCTATTCATCTATCTATTCATCTATATATCTATCTACCTATATACTTATCTATCTATTCATTTATATATCTATCTATCTATTCATCTATATATCTATCTATTCATCTATCTATCTATCTATCTATTCATCTATATATCTATCTATCTATTCATCTATATATCTATCTATCTATTCGTCTATCTATTCATCTATATATCTATCTATCTATTTATCTATCTATTCAACTATCTATTCATCTATCTATTCAACTATCTATTCATCTATATATCTATCTATCTATTCATCTATCTATTCAACTATATATTCATCTATCTATTCATTTATCTATTCACAGGGTTGCAAACAAATAATGAGACTTCAGAGACAACTGTATAGAATTAATACCGACCTTATATTAACGATCAATGCAATTGTAAACATATTCTTTCTTTGCTAAATCATCAAATAATCTTATCAAAAGACTTAATTCAAGATAGAAGGCCTTATTTAACATTGTGATCTTTATATCAACGAGCTTATGTCGTCTTTACAGTCTCATTCTTGTGAGTAGACCCTTTAGATGGTAGATGGTAGATTTATGAATTTTTTTATTGTTCTGATGGTAACGTCTTTTACCTTTAAAAACATGTTCGTTTAATCGAGTTTTCTAGAAAATTTTGTGTTTTACCCAACAAACCTATAAAAAATAAGAATAAAAGGTTAAATCTAAAATATGAAATATAAAAGAGATGTCTCGAGTCTAAGGCCCTTTAGTCTCAACTGGGGTTTCCAACAAACGAAAACTATTTCTTGAAATTTCGCAGTTTTTCGCGAAAATGAATTTTGCAAAATGAAGCGAAAACGACGCGTATTTTTATGGGGGGGGAAACAAAATATGCGCTTTCACGAATATTTTGCATTTTTCTTATGAGCGGAATGCGAAAAAATGCGAATTTTCATATTTAGCTGGAAACCATAGTACGTCTCAATTTTAACGTACAGTGTTAGACCCGACTGCTTTTTAATTTAGACTCAATTTGTAAGAAAAAGAAAACTAATTTCAAGGGGACTTTCAGGGTATCTTTAAGTGACCCTCCATTAAATCATGGCAATGTCCGATTCACAACCGTTCCCTTAAAATTTTGTCTGATTGTTTTCAATGTTGGTTTCACTACGAAAGTGATATGCGCATTTCTACCGCTGCAAATCATTGAGTAATTATCAGAAATAACAAATTTAACTGGAAAAACGACAATATTTGCCCCAATATTATTGATCAGATAAAGGGGTCAAGGGCACTGTCTTATTGTGGCTCAATGCCTGGTCTACGACACTGGGTTACAAAGATATAGGGCTTAGAAAATCAGTTTGTGGCAATTTCTGGCAAAGACTCCATTACTATGGGACTGTTCACGATATTTCAAGTGGACCTTCATTTTGAAAGGGTCGTGTTAATAATTTTCCCGAACTTTTTAATTTTATGTTTTTTTTTAATTAGGTTAAGTTTACTTTATGTTTTGTTTGTTGTCAGGGTGCTATGTTGGATAACAGTGGTTGGGGTAAAGTAGTTCTACGAGATAATGCAATGGTTCTAATGATGGGAACCAAAGATGAAGATATGCCGACTAAGCCTGTAGAAGCAACCAAGTTTATCGAGGTAGGATTGCGATCTAGATTTCATCTTTTAATGTTTTTAGTTTTTAGTTTTAAAACTCTGAAACCCTGAAAAGTTTTAAAAAAACGAATCGTGTCTGCCTTTCAATACACTTTATACTGGATATGGATGGAAGAGAATGAGGCAAGGATATGGATATTAAATAATCACTTTAATCTAGGATATGGATGAAAGAGAATTAAGCAAGGATATGGATATTAAATAATTCTTTTAGTCTAGGATATGGATGGAAGAGAATTAAGCAAGGATATGGATATTAAATAAATCCCTTAATATATAGGATATGGATGAAAGAGAATAAAGCAAGGATATGGATATTAAATAAATCCCTTAATATATAGGATATGGATGAAAGAGAATAAAGCAAGGATATGGATATTAAATAATTCCTTTAATCTAGGATATGGATGAAAGAGAATAAAGCAAGGATATGGATATTAAATAATTCCTTTAATCTAGGATATGGATGAAAGAGAATTAAGCAAGGCTATGGATATTAATTACTTCCTTTAATCTAGGATATGGATGAAAGAGAATTAAGCAAGGCTATGGATATGCCTGCTGGACTTCAGAATCTTGGAAATACTTGTTACATGAACGCGGTTATACAGTGCCTTAAGGTAAATACAACACAAACAACAACAACAGGGTGGGCATTGGGTAATATGTTAGAATATATGGCTATACATGGTAGTTAAGTTGAGAATGCAGTATTGTAGAGAAATTTTTAGTATTAATTTGAGACCTATCAGACAATCGATGAGTATTTTAAAGATTGAATTTGTGGTCTTGCTAAACAAATATGCACCGTAAAACGTCTGATAGGTCTCAAATGAATCATCAAAAAAATTCTCTCAGATATTTCAAAGCCTATGTCTGAGACACCCATAGACTGAAAGATGGAGCCGTAAATGTATCCAGAAGAAATTCTGTGTCTACATCCTTTGTGATGAATAATCCAAAAAAGGATGAATAATTGAATGAATGAATGTTGTATAGAGTGTACCTGAGCTGCGTGGATCTCTATCCAGCTACCATGGCAGGGTCAATCTACAGCAGGGGTCAGATGCTGAAAGTATCACTGCAGCCCTCAGGTGTGTAAACCCCCCTACCCCTTCCCTTCTATAAAATGGTTTGGGTTTTGTAATTGCTTAAATGTGGGGGGGGAAAGATTTAATTGCCCGGAAAGGAAGTAAAATAGATAAATAATATTTACAAGAAGGAAATAATTGCTAGATGAAGTTTAATTTTTCCTCTTTTCAATTTATAAAGAACTAGCCTCTTCTAAATTAATTGTGAACATGTTCTCTTTGTGTACATCGTAAAACAAAACAAAAATAATTCGCGGATTTTCACAAAAAATTTCGTGGATTTTCAAAGTTTTAAAAAATTTAATGACGATCGAATTTTGATGGAGACAAATATTTAAAATTTCAATCATTCATAAACCTTTCCTGGGGTCCCTAGATGTCCCACAAAAAATTTGGGCCCGATCGGTTCAGCCGTTTTGACGTTTATTGGATACAAACAGACAGACAAGCCAAATTTATATATAGATTATCATGATTAAATTTATGTGGAAAACCCATATTTCATAAATTTTTAAGAAGCCCTACAGTGAGATATATTTTACACTGAGATTCCATCACTTTTTTTGCACCAGGGGTGTATTTTTAAGAACTTTCTCTCTCCCTCCCCCTGGGTGGAAATGATTTTTAAAGAGCTGGGGGGGGTGGGGGCACGGTCGGGTAATTTTGGGGATCATGGGGGGGCAGTGACTGGTTTTTGTCACAATACATTTTTTAAAATGCATTTGTCTTGTGTTTCATTGTGATAATAGATAGAATGAATATATTCTGATAACCTTTTCATTTCAAAACATTGTATGAATTGTAGCTAGCATCGACTTATAATGTTTTCAACTTGTAATTACTTATCCCGTTCATATATTTATCCTTGAATGGATCCTGTAAACCCGCAATATATTTACAAGTCTTCTTTGTTACATAAAGGTATTTAGGAAGAAACCATATATTTTATAGCACAAGAAAGCACAGCAATTTCAGGATAATCTGAATATATAAATAGATTCTAACAGACAAATAGAAAATATTTAGGGGCGCCAGCAGCACGCCCTAAACCTTGATTTATTCATAGTAGCGTGTTGTAAAATCCTATTTTAAGAGTTTCTAATGAAATAGCGGATTTTCAGTCAAAATGAAACAATGAAAAATTGGACATTAAAAAGCCAGTTTTTTATCCTTTTTCATACGAATTTATTTATTTTCCCTTGAAATCATTTTAATTTTACCCATTTCAGCGAAAAAAACCCTGGCCCAAACAAACACTTTTCCACAAAGGGAAAACATACCTAGCTTCTTGGGGGGGGGTGATTTTTTAGGAAAATATACACCCGTCACTGAACAGAAACCAACACTAATACCCGCCTTAATGTTACAATATTTGTGGTTAATAATTACCTTATTAGAAATATTTATATTCTAGGGATCTGTATAAAACTATGGATACAGGGGCGACTATTCCTCCGATTATTATGCTTCAAGTTCTTCATTCTGCTTTTCCAGCGTAAGTTTATTTTTTTTAACGAAACGAAAGGCTTATAGTCCTCAAAATTGTGGACAATTTTTTTAAATTACAGTACATTGTAAGGATATTTAGGAAATTGACTTTCCACTAAGAAAAAAAGTAATTTGCCGCCATAATAATTGCGAACCACAGCTATTAATCCCTGTACTAGTATTGTGTATCAGGTTTGCAGAGCGAGGTGAACAAGGTGGATATCAGCAGCAAGATGCTAACGAGTGCTGGATGGAGCTCATGAAGATGCTGCAACAGAAGACTAAGGTCATCATCAAAAATTATTAAAATTTTCCCAAATTTTTTAATACTAGATTTGTGTAATTTTCTAGAATAAATACTATGTTTTGATTGCTGTTTGAGCTATTCTGTTTAATGAATACAATTTTTGTTTCAGGCTGTCGATAATAGCAAAGCTGCGAATGCTGTTGAACAGTTCTTTGGAATAGAATGTCAGTCTCAGCTCAAGTGTGTAGAGGTCAGTAAATAAATCATTGCTTAGGTTCCATTTCATTTGGATGCGGAATGCGGATTCGTATCCTGGACCCTGCTAGAAAATAATGATCATGAAGATTTATTTAGGATTTTACTGATTTTTTTAACAGAACAAGAATTTTCGAATTATTTTTCTTTCTTTTTTTCATTTATCTTTCTTTATGCAACAACATGAAAAACCTTTTAGAGATAAGGACATTTCTCTTTTTTTGTCGAGTTTGGTTGATATTTTGCCCTTGGATCCGAATTCGTGATCCGCATATTTTTGCGGATCCGGATCCAAGAAGCCAAAATGTTGCGGATCCAATTAGGCACTGAAATAAATTAATATATTTTCCATTTTTATTACTTTCAACCTAACTTACCCTTGACATTTACCTTGATCTTGATCTTCATCAAGACCTTCACCTCTACCTAGACCCTCACAAGTTCACATTCACCTGGATATTGATTTGTACCTAGATCTACCTAGATCTTTACCTAGATCTTTAATTTACCTAGAGCTTCACCTAAATCTTGATATTTACCTAGATCTTGATGCTCACCTAGATCTTGATTTTTAGCTAGATCCTGGATCTTGATTTTTACCTAGATTTTTACCTAGATCTTGATTTTACCTAGATCTTCACCTTAATTTTGATTTTTACCTAGATCTTGATTCTCACCTAGATCTTGATTTTTAGCTAGATCCTGGATCTTGATTTTTACCTAGATTTTTACCTAGATTTTTACCTAGATTTTTACTTAGATCTACCTAGATCTTCATTTTCAATTTTCGCCTAGATCTTATTCATAACCTTGCTTGACCAAGTTGATAAGTTTATATTTACAATTTAGTCTGAATCTGAAGAGCCAAGTTTTGAGGTTGAGAAATTCCTTCAGTTTTCCTGTTATATTGACAAGGATGTGAAATATCTCTATACTGGACTCAAAAACAGGCTTCAGGTACAATATGTTCATTGTTTAATTCATACATCTTTTTTATTTAGATATTTACTATTGACAAAATAAATTAACATGCAAGATATTTTTCTTTGTAATTAGTTCTTTATTAACGATTAATTATTTCTAAGCGCTCTTAAACAAATTTAATAAATTTTTTTAGAAAAATCTCAAGTCTCAAAATAATCTTTACAATGCAAAACAATTGATGGTCGTCTTACCAGTTAAAAAAAAAGTTCCAGTCGATAAAAAAATCTGTCAAAAACCGAAAGTACTGGTGACAATACAAAAGTTATTTGAAAAAAAGATTTGAAGTTCCATTAATAGCGTACTAGATTGAATAAACAAATATTTGATAACGTTTGTATGTATCTTTAGGAGAACCTGCAGAAGCACTCTGTTAGCTTAGACAGGAACGCGGAATTCTTGAAAACCTTGTCCATCACTAGGCTTCCAGGATACCTTACTATACAAATGGTAAGGAGGCTAAAGAGTGTTTTATCAGAAAACAGGTGAATGATTGTTGTCTCGGTTCTTTCTTTTAACTGGTTATGCCGCTGAGGATTTTTTAATATTCTGTTAGGATATAAATCAGTGATAGCTGGTACATTTTTTGGCGCCATTTTGAATAAGAAAAAATGGCGACAGCGCGAATTGTTTGGCTTTTCATTCTTTATCACTTTTAACAGGAATTTTGTTTGACTTGCAATGCACGGAATCATTTTAGGAATTTACACAATACACATGCTAAATTGACTTTTAATAAATTTTCCAATTTAAAAAGTTAATTTGTCAACTTTTCGACTCAGAAGTGGGTGTAAGTTGATTACATTGTGAATATTCGATGAAATTTATTACTTCTTGTCTTATTTACTCAAATCACTGAGGAAAAAGTGATAAGGGAAAAAACTAATTAATGCAACTGAAAGCGGAATTCTGAATTTCAACTGACCTTCATGCAAAGGTGGTCATGCCCGATTTACAACAGTACCCTTGCAAGCTTTTTCTTATCAAGTATGAATTAGATATCAATGTTTTTGTTTCTTTGAACTGTTAATTTAAGTTACTCGTTCATTCCTTGTTTAAAAGAAGCATTGGAATAACTCGCAGAAATAAACACTTTTTGAGTAAGAAAAACGACGGTTTCTTCCACATTTTTGATCAGATTAAGGTCTTAAGGGTAAATCAGACATTGCCATCTTTGCATGGAGGCTCACTTGAAATTACGCTTACAATCCCTTTAAAGTGAAAATTTAAAATCATATGTGTCGAGGAAGTATCTTGCTTAGGTCCGGTTTCACTTCAAGCAGAAGGAGGGTGTGAACGCCAAGGTGTTGAAGGACGTCAAGTTCCCCGTCATGCTCGACATGTTCGATATGTGTAACAAGAACCTGCAAGATAGACTTGTACCAATGAGAACAAAGTAAGTTTTTATATAAAACTAGGTGAAGTCTCCGACATTGTCGGAATGTATAAATTAAACAAAAGTTCGAATTTTGAATTTTAAAAAAATGGGTTCCCTCCAAAAATCTTTGATTATTTGATCCAGCCGTTGGGCAAGCTATCTGCTGTAGCTAACATTTATATATATATATATATAAATATTATATACATTTATATATTATTTATATAGAATATATATGTATCATATATATGAGAGTTGTTCAAAGAATTTTGACTACTGAGGATCGTTATGAGACGTGAAACATTACATTTAATATAATTCTTTTTTGATAAAATGTGAAGTTTAAAAACTGAAATATATATATGTATATCTTTATAAAAACTCACAGAAAAAGTTGATTGACTTAAAAGTGAAAAAATTTGCCCAGAAAAAAACTCGACATTTATTATTTCTCTTAACAGGAACATCCGCGAAAATTATTGGTTTTTTAAAAAAAAAAGATGAAAAGTTTAAGGTTAAAATTGTAAATAGAACTAGAAAGCCTAGAATTATCTTTAAAAAAACAACAATTAATTTATAACATAACCCAGAGTGGCCCAGGGGAGTCATAGTTAGTCCCACTGTGTACCCGCGCTTTGTCGTAAATTACGGTTTTAGCTATTTTTTCCGATAAAAGTCGACCCAAACTTAGAACCTCAAAATTATGCCAAGAACATTTCCGGAGGGCTTCCGAGTTCCCCAATAAAAATTTGAGGCAAATCGGTATAGGGGTTCCTGGGTTATGATCGGACAAATAAACAGAGATTACAACTTTATATATACACTACAGATATACAGACAATAGACATGTATGAAATATAATTATACGTAGGTTCAAAGAGTACGAGGATTGGCTGGTAGAGCACGGATCTAAGGATAAGGGGAAAACAGCAGCTTTAAAACAAGAAAAGCTCTCTCAGGTCAGACTTTGGGGTCAGGCTGAAAGGAACTGTAGACGCAATTCCATCAATGAAGTCTGATTCGCAACTGTGCTTCTCCCTTAAAGGGAGTGTTCGCGAAAAATGAAAGGTGGTATAGACTTACGGCGAAAAATAAGCGCTTTTCATTGCTACTAATCTTACTTCAATCCAGGTGCGGATACAGGGGGTGGGGGGGGAGGCAGGACCTTTGTACCCCCCTGAGATTTCAGAATAGCTTCTCAATAGCATTTAAGGGAAAGAAAACCTAGTGCAAAACTGAAAAAAACCATTAATCCTGTATCTGCCCCTGCTTCTATATGTTGTACCTATAATAAGGAGAAAATTGATAAAAACTACTCATATCGAAGAACGCAGCGTCCATACAAATTCAGAAAGTTGCAACATTCAACTCTGATCGTAGAAAAATCAATTTAATTCCAAACAAATCATTCAGATATTACAATCAATAATCATAGATAATTTTTCGACGTATTCGTATATAGTTGATATTTTATAATATTTTTTATTTTTTATGAGCTGATTGTTACTTTTAAAACATTTGAGTAAACTATAAGTAAAAAATTACTCTTGACTCAAAAATTGAGTTACAAAAGAAAAATATTAAAATTATTGTTTAGGGTAAAGCTGAGTAATAAAACAAAGGTGAAATAGATGAAACAAGAAACATATTAAACTTTGTTTGAAATAAAGCTGAAATTGGAATTCCAAAGAGGAAATATAATAAGTAAGCCTAAAATAAATAAATAATTAGCCTAATGTAAAAAGGGCAAATGAGTATAAGGTTATTTTAAGCAAGAAGCTAAACCAAAAGAAAAACTCTGAATTCCCGTGTTTTTTGGGACACCCTGTATATATACATTAGAAACAATCAGATACAATTCATATTTATAGGTCAGACTAATAGACAATTAAAAGAATAAACAGAGAGATAAAATATCCTGCAGTTACAAGTTGATTATAGCCGGTCAAGGTTAAGTTGAAAGAAAAGATTAAATACTAAAGCGGCTTGTTACATATAACCAGTAAAACTATAATATACAATTATAGTGAAAATAAATAAATAATTCGGTAAAAGATTGAAATAATAACTGTATCTGCGGAAATAAATAAATTGGTAAAGGATTGAAGAAATTAATAACTGAAACTGTGGAAATAAAATAAATAAATAACTAAACACAAACTAAAGAAAGTTACTATCCTTGCTTAATGTAGGCCGTTAGTAGAGTCGGGTTCAGAGGTCGAGGAAGGAATGAGGGGAGGTAGTAGAGAGAGAGCAGTAAGGTAGAGAGAGAGAGAGGAAAGTAAGTGTGCAGTACACGTGTAACATCTAGCCGCGTACGGCAGTCTAAGTACAAGGAAGGAGTGGAGACTAGCCCAGATGTCGTCTTCAATTTGTTTAACCTATCCAGACAATTCTTGTCAGTAGCCTAAACAACAATTCCTGTTTTGAGGATTTTTAAAAATTAAGACGACATTTTCATATTTTCCAGGAAATAATGTTTTAATAAAACGAGATCAAAAATATTTTGAAATCTATAAAATAATCGTGACTACTGTTTGTAATTTCTAACCTGTTCGGGAAACTAATCTATGAACCTTTTGATCTAAAACGAATTTCACCTAAGAGTAATCTGATCTAATGAGAATTTAATTTAAAAAACGTGGAAATTGATCTAAAATATTTTTTTAGATCTAAGTCCGCATTTGCTAAAAATTTTTGGAATCTGATCTAAAATATTTTTTTCAAATTTGAGCTCCCTGTTCATTTTTATATATTTGTCAAGTTTCATAAAATTTCTTCTGCAAAAGTTGTGATTTTGATCTAAGATATGTGTAATTGGATCTAAAATATGTTGAATGTGATCTAAAATTTTTTTTTAAAATTTATATTTCAGATAACAATTATGCTTCAAATCCTTAACTTTATTTGCTTAAAATATGGAATGTGATCTAAAAAGTGTTTACTTTGATCTAAAAAATGTAGACTTTAATCTAAAATTTGATAATTTGATTAAAAATATTAGATTTAGAAGTTAAGAAATGTGTAAGGTTGACACCTTAATGGTGAAAGAGTTGGGTTCATGGGTTCAGGATCTTCATATTTTAGATCAAATTATACATTTTTAGAACGAATTCTTCATATTTTAGATCAGAGTATACATTTTTTAGACCTAATTCTACTATTTTTAAATACAGAATTCTGTACTTCCAATATAATTTATGCACGCAGAATTTGGGAATTTTATCTGTAATATGTAGAGTTGGATCTAAAATATTTGTTCTCAAAAATAAACATTTTTAAATGACATTTTTGACTCAAAATATTTAAAATCCAAATTTTAGATCAAATTCCACAATTTTCCCGAAAGAATTGGAATTTGGTCTAAAAATTTTTTTAGATCTAAGTCCACTTAGATCAGATTCTTTTAGATCAGATTGCCTTTAGATCAAAAGGATTATAGATCGATTTCCTATGCACCGTAGCGATGAAAAACACTTATTTTTGTCGTAAGCCTATACCACCTTTCATTTTTTGCGAACACTCCCTTTATTTTAATAATCAAGATGATCTCGTCAATTTTCTGTCTTAAGATTCGTCACTCCTTCAGCTGCATATATCTGCATTGTGCAAGTCAAATGCTTACAATCACACCAATGCAAATTCAATCAGTTTTCAGCTTAAAGATTTATAAAGATTCATTCATTCATCAATTGAATCGGTTATGCTACTCTATAAATAGCAGGAATCTTGAAATTTCGTGAAGAGTCCCTTTTATTTTAAAGATTTTGGACAGAATGACTTATGATTTCTATTTTAATAAAAGTCGAAAAATTATATTTCTTTTATTTTTATTCATATTGGAGAAAAACAATGGGATTAGTAGATAAAATGTTCTTTTTTTTCTAGGACTTGACCGAAGCCGAGGTTGAGGATTGGTGGTTTGAGGACGATAAAGGTATTACAAGGGTATATATACTATACAGTTTTGGGTTTTTTTTTACATCCCAAATTTTGGGGGGAAATTATCAAAAATCATAAGTTTTAACTTTTTTGAAAATCGTTTTGAGAAGAAAGATTCAATTAAAGGCACTGTAGAGTGTAGAGATAGACCCGCCACTCTACATTGAAATTACGCGCAAGTCCCTTTAATTAGCTTAATTTTAAATTCACAAAACTCTAATCTCGAAGAATGATTGATCCTAAACCTTGAATTCACAATAAACAATAAACCTTGAGTGAACACAAGTCGAATCTCGAAGAATGATAAACAATGAACCTTGAGTTGACACAACTCGAATCTCGAGCTATGATAAACATTAAACCTTGAGTTGACACAACTCGAATCTCGAGCTATGATAAACATTAAACAAAAGGAAAAATGAAAGGGGTATAGGCTGAAACCTGAGAAGCTCAGGAGTTGATTGAGACATATAAGACATCTATCTGATGTTCCTGTCTCGAGAAATTGATATAAAACGGTGTCAACATTATACCAAAACGTATATATGTAAGATTTTGTATAAGATTCATAGTATTGAACAGATCATATTCAACAAATACGCAGCAAATCTGTCTCACAGGTATCGTCCAACTCCTGAGATTCTCAGGTTTCAGCCTATACCCCTTTCATTTTTCCTTTACAGTCCCTTTTAAGGGTAGAAATTGACCATGTTGTTCAATGTAAACAATTGGAAGTATGAAATCAAGTTGTAGAGAAATTCCATACTTGCCTAAGTTAACAATGACACGGAAAGTGTATTTTCATGCCCCTTAATGTACTTTCAACCCCGATCCCATCTGGGATCAGAAATGGAATGATATGGACCCCTGCGTTGAAGGGGTAAAAAGGACAGTTTAGGTTTGTCGTATGTTTGCATGGTTAATTAGAGGGTTGATTGTTAAGTTGGTTGCTTCCTTGGATTATTGCAAGGTTGGTTGTTTGGTTGCTTAGTAGATTGGAAGGTAGGTTGGTTGCTTGGTTGTTTTTTGGCTGGTTGGTTGGTTGCCATGCTGGATGCTTGGTCGGTTGTTTGGGTTTTTAATTTATTAATTGGTTGATTAGTTTGATTTGATTTGATTTGATTTGATTTGATTTGATTTGATTTGATTTGATTTGATTT